ATTAATAATATCAATTATTAAGAATGCTTATTTTAATAAAATTACATTCGCCAGTCGTATTAWTTAATAATATATTTTATTTTTATTTAACGTTTTGTCCTTTAATTTATATTAAAATACCTTTATAGCTTTCAACGTTCGATGAGTAACACTCGTCAAAGACTCAAAGTCTAATGATGTGTTTAATGAATTTAAATCTAATAAGTTATAGTTGCACTCTTTTATCAATGCTTTATAAAGCTCCTGAGTATAGTTATTAAAATTTAGTTGGTATCCGGTGTTAAGTTTACAACTACTCCTATATTTTGACGATTCTGAATATTGGTTTTCATTTTTTAAATCCGAAATTTGCTTAGAACCGTCTTGTTTATCATTCGTTTTAGTATTGTTTGGAATTGAACATTGCTTTACTTCGCTAAAGTCGTAAAAATATATATTATAAAAATGTTTGCACTACCTATACTTGTATAAGTTGTATTGAATAAATTCAATAGTGGATATAAAATAATATTTTTTTTTTTATGCATATTAAGTGTGTGTAAGATTTAGTCCTYTATTTTTGATTTAAAAATGGTTCTTACCATACCAGGTTAAAAATGAATTTCTTTTGCTAGTGTAGTTATTATTAGAATGCATCATGTGTCCTTTCGATTTTTGTATTTAATTGATTAATTATTTTTGTAAATTTGTTGAATAGTTTTAAAAATAATAAAAATGTAAGTTATGTTAGATTTTTAATTGTGTTATTCCATTTTGTTTTCGATGTTTATATTTTATATCTATAGTGATGTATATCTACTGAATTGCCGATATAGTTACCCACGTAACTGACACAATTAGTGTATCAGTTTATCACAATAGGAACTAGGTATTGATTGTTATTGGAAAAATAATAATTATGAGGATCCGTGTGAATTATAAAATTAAAAAATTTTAAAAACAATAGAAAAATGTATATTTCATAGCAAGAGCGATGCCCGGTGAGGCATACTAGTATATAGATATAAATAAATTATAAGTAAATTTTATAAACACTGAGTTATGTCATCGTTTAGTCGTTATACATACAGATATCGATATTCCACTTCTGTCATGCTGTCATCTTCGAGTTAATCGACATAATATTCAGCGTCATGCAAACATTGTCTAAGCACCTTGAGCCTTTAGAAATTGGCCATTGTTTCAGTTTAATTGTAGGTATGCCGTATGACAATAATGTTTGTTTTGTTATTATTGATTAATGTTTATTAGTATTAGTAATATTACTGTTGCACTGTCCGAAAGTTGTCTGTCTTCACCAGTGGCGTCAAACCCTATAGGTCAGGTAGGGCAACCGYGTGACCTACGAAAATGAGTGGGTGGGTCGTAGGTGGTTAGGATGGTTGTGGATGGGGGTAGGATATGATTGTGATGTATAAAAATAATTTATATAAGGAGAAATCAAATATAAATATTCCCGAATATCAAAAAACTACGAGAATACTCGATTTAGTTATACAGGTGTCTCTGGGTGGGGTGGGTATTAATTTTTGTATTTTGCCCTACCTATAAAAATTGAGATCGGCGCAACTTGTCTTCGCCAGGAACATAACAATTTTATGTATATGATCGTAGTTCACGCTGTAAACACCAAAATATACCATTGGAACGAACGTCATCTATCAAGGCCGTCCGCAGAAATTTTTCTCTGGKTGGAGGGAGAGGGGCAGTGAAAAAATAATCACTTACCATAAATTCTGTTTTTTATATCACATCGTAAAAAAAATTATTTATTTATTATATTATAGTARGTAAGTATATACATAATATATAAATAAATGTATTATATTATGTTGTTATAAATAAGCCTGTATAATAAAAAATGAAAAAAACTAATTAATAATAAATAATTAATGACTCTTTGATCATTAATCATTATCGTCAAATAAAAATTGAACACGTCGTGGTTCCATGCAGAAAAGCTTAATTGTATCTTCAACMATGTCAGATTGTTGACTTTTTACAATATCACTATGAATGTAGGTACATAAGTGCTAAACCATTCAMGCGGAGTTGTGTCATACTACTGTGAAGCTAAGTTTTCAATTTTTTAAGGGAGCTATAATATAAAACAAAAACAAAAATGTCTGAGAAGAAGCACTATATAAAAGCAGATTAATAAATTATACATACTTAAATGACCTTTCAACACTATAATAGTAGTTGATGCAAGGGTTATTGCTATTAAAATACAATTTTTTATTGATGGGAAAAATGTTGTTTCATCTAAAAGTTCAAGAAAATCTGTATTATCTTTCATTTATTTTTCACTCTAGTTACTGTACCAAATAAGACCTTCTTCTAATATATTATCTATATAAATCTCCATGAAATGACTTAATATTTTTCAATTTAGTGATAAATTCTTCTTTTTTTATACTTTTCATATATTTTGGATTGATTGAGAAAACTTCAAATTTTTCAATATTCTCTGCAAATTTGTCGTTTAATAAAGTATTTCAAATAAAAAAATTAAAAAAAAAGATTCAGACTACCTGGGGACACATAATTCAGTAAGATTAGGAGCAGCTGATTGGCGTAAAAACCTTTCTTTAAAAAAATGAATTGTTTCTTTTATCACACCAAAGGTATTGCGGATACTTGGAATGGAATTCAATTCACATTTAAAACTAAATTTATACGATGACTTGCACAATRGACGAAGACTGCTTTTTATGTATATCTTTTATTCTTTTTTGAACAACACTTATATGACCAGCCATAGTACTCGCACCATAGTATCCTTGCCCAACTAACTTATTCAGATCTAATCACCACAAATAAACCAAATACCGAATACCTTGGTGATACCTACATAAGATTGCTATATAAAATGTAAATAAATGCAATAAAAATTAGGTATTATCTAAATAAGCTGGGGAGGGGGTTGTGGTCCTTCCACCCCCTGCGGGCGGCCTTGTCGTCTATCACTTATTATTTTGTGTGAGRCTTCAAGATACCTGCCCCAGGCACTGGGACGAGAAAACATTTTGCGAAAAACGTTGTTTTTTTTGTTGTGCGTCTGTACGTGTTACCGCAACTCGCGTCTTACTCACCATCCTGGAAATTAATCGTGAGCTCAGTATATTATGATGTTCATCGACTCATCGTTTAGCGCGCGTTACTGTTCCGTCGCCGGAAATCGACTTGTATGCCGTTACTTTTGTGCGTGTACCGCGTAGACGTGTAGTGCGGCTACGTTCTCGTATTCTTTATATCGTTATCCAGTGTKGTTTTCTGTRGMGATAATATTATGGCGTTCATTATTCATCAACACATTTATACTACATTACTACAATACTACGCTATCATCCCGTCGTCGGTTGTATTGTTATTGTCACGTATTGTCGTGTGCTCGTCACGTATAGATAGAAACAAAGGACACCGATATCGATTACTCACTAAAGGTCTATTT